CGACCCGTGCGGTAATAGCTATGTGTCGGGTGAGGGACAGGCACTCCATGTCCACAGATATTCGCGGACTTTCGAGCAAAACGAAGACTTGGGATTAAATGATATTAAAACCGAAAATTATAATTAAGTGTTTTTAAATTATGTTTTAAAAGTTAAATTTGATAAAAAGTTTTGTATTTTAAATGCTCAATAAATACTGTATTTTGATAGTAATCAGGAGTTAAATATTTAACCAGTAGGTTCTAACCCTACCCTACTCTTAGAGGTTGACTATAGACGTAATTTCTAATATGGGGCCAAAGTCTATCAAGTGTTTGTCCAACTTATGGGTGTATTTGAGTGAATATTTGATAGACTTAAGCCCGGAGTGGAGACCAATTGGCAGCAAACATGGCATATGACATAAGGACAGACGTTTGCAGTATATTGTATAAAAGGATTGAGAGAAAAGTATTGAAAGCGAACACAGACTACAGTTCCCACAATTGCTGTCCAACGCCAACAAACTGGCCAACTGTGCCCAAGTGGACACATAGGTGATCGGGTGAGTGTGGCAACCCGTGGATCAGTTTAAACCATTGTTTTCAATTGTATTCATTTGTCAGAGCAATCGATCAGTTATTTGCGGGCATTCACAGCATATGGCACTAGTGTTTTCCGGATGTGGAGCTACCCGTACGCACCGATGCACCCCTTGACGCTTCATGGGTTGATAATTATGAGATACACGTCGATACGGAAACTCATTTGGCGTTCAAATATTGCTCTCACATGAGAATGAACGTCAACGCAGTGGCCGGGTATGTTTGCGCACTAGTTCATCAAATGGTCACTCAATTTACAACTTAATCGTAAATATGATTGCATTCATCTTATACTAGATTCCCATACGCTATGCTACCGGCTCTCTGTAACCACTTGAGTTAGTTCGCCAACGCCCTGAACATACGATTGTCGGGACAGGCAGTAGAGGGTCCGCACGAGCAGCGGGAGGTGGACAGTGCGGGCGCGCACTAGTCGTCCAAATTATAGCACAATTATACGAATATTTCAAATATAATACAAAAAAGTTTTATTTGAATCTACGGCTCATTTACTACTCCTATCGCCGATCGTGTATTTGTCATAATTCTTGGTCGGATCGTACGGTTCCCACCGACTGGCGGGGAATATATGCTTATTGCGCTCATACCACGCCCTCAACAGCACTTTCCCCGCGTGCGACTCATCCCTTTCCACTGTGGCGTCCGACACGAGGCGCACGTCGTCGTGAACGTCGAAAGCAAACAGTGGACCCGATTTGCCCCGAGCTTTGGTCACAATGAAGTCGTAGAACGTGTAGTGCTGAGGGATTATCAGGTCCTCCTTGATATACCTGTGCGGGTGAGGGTCCACACAAACAGTCGTTAGTCATATACAAACATAATGAACAGTGTTTTGTATGCAATGAGCGTTCAGTTGTTTCTAATTCTCTCTCTCTCTCTCTCGCTCTCTCCCTCTCCCAACACTATTGGCTACCAATTGGTGACCACTTATAGCCCACAAAACACCGCAAAACTAAATACGATTGGCTGTCGACGACTCACATGAGCTGATCGGCGGTGACGGCCCTTAACTCATGAA